AAGTCACAAAAACCCAAACGTCAGTATCGCTTTACAGTTGAACTGCTATACTACTGCACATCACAGCCTCCACAGAACACTACCCATCACAGAACCTGATGAAGCAAAGACCACGATGCAGCTTTCTGGTTTGGACACCTTCGTAGATGCGTAAATGCGTGTTTTGTTGTACTTTATGTGCGAAGGTTTTACCTATACAACAAACTGTCCGCATAGCATTCAAACATCGTGAACTGTTCACAAAGTGGTAGTGTTCTCGCTGAACCGTGGTCAGTTACCATTTCACGAGTTTTATGAATTTACTTTTGGGATAGTTCCTAATGAGGTATTTTCGGCCCTCGTTGTAAGCGAGGAGATAGAGTCCAACCAACGGGGCGATTGCCCATACATGTGGGGGTGGAGCATGTGTGTCCATGAAGTACTGACTGACTGGTGTGTAAACGAACATTACCAGAAGGAGAATCTGAAAGCGACCAGTCGAACATATATGCTGTAGTAAGTGCTCAATGAAAAAACAAACCTCAATGATCACTGCGAATATGGACACGACGTTGGTGATGCCATGTCGGAAGACAGACACTCGGCGAGTTGCACAGTTGTAGAGGTGAAACACCTGAACGGATGTCTTTCTCAAAAACAAGAGGTATGCCAGCTAGATTCCGGATCTCCTGCGCATTTCTTTCGAGTTCCATGGCTGAGCTGGTAACCAACCTGAGACATAACAAGTACCACCTGCCAGGCGCCAGCTGCTTGTCCTTTTATGAACAACTGCTGGTTCTCATCGTAAACCACACCGTCACTGGTAGTAAAATTCACGGCGCCAATTTTCCAATGATGTTCAGCTGTGAACAACAAATCCCGAAACGTGATGTTGTGGTACCTGAAGGTAGGAAATGATTACATCCCGAAAGAGATCCTCAAAAGATCCGGTAGATCTTACCAGTATACACTAAGGTATGCGGCTATACAACCAATAGTGATACCAGTGCCAGCAAAGAGGTATGCGTAAACGAGCAGTCCTTTTGAAAGGAGACGAGTTTTCCGACTACGTGGACGAGTTAGCATGATGTCTTGTTCGGGTTGCTCATAAGCAAGCGACACGGCTGGAGGCATCTCAGAAGCCAAATCGATGGAAAGGATCTGAACTATTGGTTAGTACTATTGGGACTTCTTCAGACCTGGAACTATTTACTGTACGCCTGATCGGTTCTTGATCACATTCGCAAATGACAGTGGAATGAATGGCGTGTATCTGATTGACCTGCATTGGCGACAATCCTTGTGGTAATCCGAGTATAAACGTGAGCATAATCGGAAAGATTTCCGGCCAGAGATGAGCGAATGTATACGCCAAAGAGAGCCTGAAAAGGACAAGTTCGAAAGACTAATTCCAACCTCATGTCTACAACTGAATTCAATCAGAATAAGTGACTGAATAAGAGAACCTGAGATTATCGAATAGAAGCCGTCCCTCTTCGATCCCCATCACGATCGATGCAAAGTTATCGTCTAACAAAACAATGTCGGCAGTCTGACGGGCGATGTCACTGCCTGAAAATCAAATATGAAAAATAATTTACCTGGGTAAACAAGCAATGAACGAAAACTCACCACATAAACCCATGGCAATGCCGATATTAGCGTGTGCGAGAGCTGGAGCATCGTTGACGCCACCTCCGGTGACAGCAACGGTCTCACCCCGCCGTTGGACTTCCTGGACGATTCGCAATTTTTGTTCGGGATTTGTTCTGTAAAAGACTGTTTTACAGTGAACAACAAAATGCAGGGAATCGCATAGATCCTGTTCAACTGAGGGTTAGGGCGAAATCAGCACAACTCGGACCTTCTAATCCGAGCCACCTGGATAAAAGGTAATGAAATAGTGATTCACCTTGCAAATACGATGTACTTATGCCTTAACAGTTGATCCCACTCGGACTGACTGTAATCTTGCAGTTGTTCCCCAGTTACAATTTGCCAATCACGGGAAGGCACCGTTTTCGAAGTCTAAAAGTGTTATAAACGATGCTTAATAATTGTAGTAGAGAGTAGAATGTTACACAAGTAATTTTATACATCAAAACTCGAACTAAAAGGAAGGGAATTAGAAAAAGGGGAAATTGCACGAACCGAAGGAAATCTTACAACAAAGCAAAAATATTTATATTGTCGCATGAGTTGAGAGTCTACTCAGGTTGAATTTATATTCACCCACGAATACCCTCTACATTTCCTCAGTCAGTCAAAATGTCAGCGACGACCGTAAACTGAGAGTTCAACAAAGTTGACTTCAAAATAGATAGGTTTAGACGTGGTCAGTGCAACCCAGGTCTTAACCCTGCGGAACCTGCTCGTTGAAACCTCGAACTGCTTGACTGTAAGTTCTTGGTGTGCGCTTTTTTCAAGATCTACTACCCACCGTTTTCCAGGGATACATCAGTATGAGCCGTGCCAACATCCAGACCCACAATACTTGTCCTCTGGCACAGTGGCAGACGATGACCACAGTGGCAGACGATGACACCTTTTCCACTAACGCCCTTCCCCGGAAGGTCCTTCTTTTCATGAAGTTTGGTGGGTAGGACCCCATCCTTCAGATCTCCTAGTTTTGATGGACCCCGACGTGTCAGACTCGACCATCCTGAGGCTTCAAACATGTGGAATCATGGCTCCGACAACGTCCGCGAACCATATCTCACCTTTATCACCACTACTGATAGGGATCGTCTCGAACTCATTCCGGATCCCATTTAGTTTCTATCATTCACGCGTAACGACTGGTCTATTAACATCCTCAGTGGTAAGTTCAAGTTTGCTACCTGCTTAGAAGGCGTCATAGTGGGCATGGGCACGGTTACGCGGCCACAGGCGGTTACAGTGTCGGCTGAATTGGGTAGGAAAGCTCGCAAGATCTTACCCAACCAATACCGATACCCTGGTCGGTCGTGACTTAACTCTGTCAGTATGACGTCTTCCAACCTCCAAACCCAACTCCAAAAACCGATCAATATTCCCAGATGCGTGTATTTTACATAATAAAAGCGCTCCAAATCACCGTGGCTGCAATTGTGATCTATCGCTTGTTAAGCGTCGATGAGTTGTGCGACATTCGGATAATCAAGGTGATCGATTCAATCGATACTTCATCAGGTTTTATTCCAACACGGCTCCTACGGTCAGTGCCTCATGCCGCTTGAGCGCTGATCAGAGGCTATGGAATGAGGCCCTGACTCAAGATATTATATCAGTAAA